TAAATCACACTGATGACGTAGAAGCCTCAAAAACTCATGTATGAAATATGATGCACTAGAGAAGTTTGATCCAGACTGGATAGTGTATGTGTGAAAGATAGCAAATTAAAATTTCATGGCAAATGATCAAAATGATCCTGCGGACACACGCTTCAGTGAAACCTCAAAAGCTTTGCAATTTATATTCACCAGCGTCTTTGGTTTAGATTGAAATGTGAAGTTGATTTGATAAAATCCCAAGGAGGATTTTGAAAAGGTATAACATCAGCAAATCTCCAAAATGGCACAGTAAAGTAAAAATGGTGGACTTCCTGTCATGTTTGGATCATAGGTCTCATTGACCTTTCGTACATCGTGGGTTGTTGGACCTCTGTAAGAAATTTCATTCAAATAGCTCAGTCTGTGTGCTGGTTCATACTTTCATAGGTGACGCTGTGGAGCCATTTCGTCCTCTCCATACGTGAATTTTCACCAGGCCTGACATGTGGGCAAAATTTCATGCGCTTTCAAGTGTCTTCAGACCCTCAAAAAGGCGATTCATTTGACCAAGTAATGATAATAAGGAGAGCAGATACAATTTGGCCTTCACACTTTTAGTGCTCGGGCCCTAAAAAACCCTCACAGGGCTATGATCTTAGTAACTAGTTGCTAGCTCCATCAAGTATATCTCACGTGTTCCTTTCATGAGTCAAAGCACATTGTTCTGTTTGACAGGCTTTCAGTGTGGAACTTGACCATGATGGGGTCACAGGGCTTGAGCTATTCTTCAGGAAGCGAGTGAGAGAGGGAATAAAAGATGGAAACACTGCCGACTGCCTCAGGTATCCATGGATACATGACGCACAGCGATGGCTCATGGAGCTACTCACATCTGTAGGAGGGCACAAATATCACCCAGATGGTGCATTTAATCGGAACAAATAATGATGCACTGGAAAAAAACAGGTGAGGAATATTTGTACTTTATCTTTTCTGATTCTGGTTCTTAGTGATGAGCTAAGGTATCGCAGGTGTTTGAGCTACATGCTAACATGCTCAAAACTCATTTTAAAAGCTCAACTGTTTTCCTTTGATACACTTATTTCACATCACAACAGAGAAACGTGGCAATGCAAAGATTCACTGCATGTGGTTGGAGTACTAGAACAAATTGTAAACATTAAGCAGGTAATGTATACATTTCAGCCACTGGAACAAAGACTGCACACAAAAGATGCTTTTGGAGCTGAAAAGAGAAGCCAGTGCAAAAAAGCCTTAAATTCACATTCCTAATAACATTCAACAGGGTGAACTCTGAAAGAAGTGCAAAAAAAGTCCCTTCTCTTGTAAATGTGAGAAAATGACGTCACTATTTAATACTAAACAGTCACAGTAAATAGATGCTAAAGCAGCATTAGGGTGAGGCTACCCTGTGATTGGCATGTAAAGACTTTTGGTTCTCCCTCAGATCTACCTCTTGCTTCTGGTTGGCTGATTAAAGTACAACAAAGCTGGCCCAAATGTCTGACTACAAGTCCAAAAACAAGTAGACTGTGACCTCAAGGGACGAATGCTCTGGAGGAATTTTTATTGCTCAGTATTCTTCCTGTGGGGAGCATAAATGTAGTGAAATTCGTGGCAGTCCATCCAGCAACATTTAACTCACAAACTACAAAATAAAAGTGAGTCTAACTTGCAAAACTTTCTGTTGCTTACTAAATTCAGAGTCACAGGGGTGGAAAGCCTATCTCAGCCGTTATGGGGTGAGAGCCTGGATGGATTACCAATCAGTAGTTGTCAATATCGAGGAAACGTGAATTCCTATAACAAATTATGGCGTTCAGTTTTTGAAACTCTCAGATATTTCACTGAATGCGTTAAAGCTTTGTTGGCAGTGTTATTGAGATACTTCAATCTGGGCTCATATTTTCATTCCAGTCTGTCTCAAAAGACCAAAACTAAAGGATAAATACAACACTGCACACAAAGTAAAACTGCTTTTCAATCCATTTCACCTGCAGAGTTCAGAGAAAGGGACTGAAAGGATTCAGAAGGGGTGTGTGTGAACAGAATAACACTGCCTGCAGACCATTTTTTCTTTACAGTATAATCAACCAAATGAAAGTAGAGACCAAATCCTGGAGGCCACCCACTATCTGTGTCAGCAGCAGCTGCACTACCGGAGCTGCAGGGTAACGTGGCAGGATGTGGGAGGGTAATGGCTAACGTTATTCATATTTTCTACCTTATCTGCTTACATCAAGCTGCTTCTGTCTGCAGTGTGCTTAATGGGAGCTGACCCTGTTTAACGACCACAGCTGGTGTGTCTCTAACGATAATAGGGGGCCATCGGCCTCACGGAGGACCACATCTCATTTTCTCAAGCATTTGGAAATACTAACGAGGAAAACATTTCTAAAAGGTCAGCCCAGAAACTGATGCGGCTTATTATTATGTTAGGGACATATTTAGGTTTGAAGCAACCCTGGATACATTTCAGCAATTTGTAAGTTTCACCAAACGAAGAGGACACACATGACAACCGATGGCATTTGAGAAAGGGCATTTAATTCCACGAGGAGAAACATCGATGTAAGTGCACTTTCATTTTCAGCACACTTCTTGTGAACAGACATAACCTTGAAGAGAAATGTTAAGAGACTGACGGTGCAGGGTGATAAGCTTCAGGGAAGAGAGGAAAGGAAGGTGAGGAGAGGATGGGGGAGGGAGTAGGGCCAAGACGAGATTAATTGATTTTGGAAAGAACTCAAAAACACATCCCCAATCCAGTGATTTAAAGAGCTGGCTCACAGTCAGCGTGATGGAGCCGGTGCGGCAGCTGGCTGCAAGAATATGAAGGCATCCGGAAGTCTTTTAGATCACATATTTTTTGGAATTTGTTTTTTGAGGTCATTTTCAAAACAATTTCTTTAAAGGGTGTTGCAACAGTGACACAGCAGGTTATCACTGCCGCAATACGGCATTAATGAATTATCCCTACAGTATGGAGCGACTACAGTTTTTAACAGCATAGACAAGACTGTAGCAGCACCTGCCCGGTGATATGTGCACCTCTGACACACAGAATAATCAAATGAGAAAATCATCTTTAACTACATAATTAGAACGAAGACCATTATGAACAAAATCATGCTGAATATATATAGAATAGCTAAGTTAATCAGACTTTACTATGTACAATGTACAGAAAAAAAGGTCATACTTTCAGAGGTATAGCTGCTTATTAAACCCATTTCTTATATGAGATTACAGACGAGTGTCACAGCGAGGGTTAGCAAGGTCCCCACTCAAACCTCCCCAAGAAAGCCAACTATGTCAACATGTTTAAACACTTTTTTCTTTCTTGACGGTAATGAAAAAACAGCAAAAATGACTGTGTCCATGCTGGACATGTCATCAAACCACAGTGTAAAAAGCCGTTTGAGTGGCTCTCAGAGGCAAGGAACCAAACATTACAACAATCATCAAACACACACACACAGCAGAGATTTTCAGACAGCCTGCAACACCACAGCACTTGTACTGACTAATAGGGTTTGAATGAAGCTGCACTGTGCTAAATGTCCCACTGCACTGAAGCCGAGAAGCAGAAGGTACATTTTAGTTTTGAGGATTACAGTACGTAATGTTACTCCATGTATGTAGTGTTGATTTGATAAAAATGTAATCTGAAAAATTAATATTAACTTGTAGAAATTGGCAAATTTATGAACTGCTTCAAATAAACAAGTCACATTATTCCAGCCTCAACTGTTTAACTTAGCTAGTTATTAGCTAACATAATAGCTAAAAGTTAAATTTGTGAACATGATAACACACTAAATAATTGCCCTTGTGCCTCAGGCTGAATTTAAACATATGCTCACATGAAATACACTATGTACATACTGTCATAACATGAATTTTAACTGCTTGAACATGGCAAGTTGTGCACAGATTAGCATTTTAGTGCAACTGTCATGCTAGCTGCCAAATTTTGTGAACACCAATCCGTTGAGTCTCTAATCACATATTATTCTATTGGAAGATGACAGTTTAGCACTTAAACATCACACAGTGCCAAATATAAGTGCTTAGGTCAGAGAATGCCACTTTCAGCTTGCTAGCTAGCATCAGCACAAATGTTTCTACCAAATTTGTGACGCAGTGTGGGAAACGCCGGATAAAGATGCAGGCTTTTCCCACACTGCTTGCACACAAAAAAAACGCCACGCAATCAATACTGAACAATGGGGCTTTTTCAACTTCACTGTCAGAAAAATCTTGTTTAATGAACAGTTTCTGGTGCACAAACTGCAAATGAAAAACACAGTATTTTCCATGAAATTCTTAAACAGCAAACCTCTCGACCATGAGGGGAAAACACTCGCTCAGCAGGCCTACACAAGCCTCGAGGCGCAAACTGTCCAGGAAGCCAGTGAAACCTGCCCCAGTAACGCAAGCACCTTTTCTGTATTTGGCCTGTGGCGATAAAGCTGTGTGGACCGTGACGGATCAACAGTTTCTTTAAAACCTAGAAGAATCAGAATTTTACTAGCGTGCTACCAATGGCTATTAATCTATTTCCATTTTCACTAAACCACAGTACTTGAAATAAGAGACTCATTTTGACATCTTTTAGTTAAAAATTAATGGAAAATAAACAAAAACAGATAGATGAAATCCATTTTTTAAAAATCTACAGGTTTTGAAAGTCTAGGAAACAATAAAAAAAAAAAGTGAAAAAAAAATTCATTTTGAACTTTAAACTGGTTTCACATGCTGTGTCAAGCAAGCATGAAAAAATCAGACTAGTCTTCACTCACAATTGTTTGGTGCAGTTTATGCATGAGAAACTACTCAGTTACCTCCACTTTTCAGGCAGTGTTTTGCTTAGTCCCTTCCATTCTTAACGACTTTAACTGTAAACTGTAGTTTTCCACACTCAACTTTTTGAGTCCATCAGCTGGGTACTTATAGTGCACTCTGAACATGTACTCAAATGATCACGTGTAATTATGGAAGTACAGCAATTTTTGACACAGCATTTGTGTGCATATTAGCATAGCATTTAGCTCACCCTCATAGAGCAGCTAGCATGGCTTTAGACATTATGATGTCTAAATTTATTATATAGCAGTTACCAAGGATTAACAAAAATATGGATGATTTGCAAACAGCATGCTCATTGATTCTAAGACGTTTCTGCTATTATTATTATTATTATTATTATTATTATTATTATTATCATATTACTGCCCTAGTTGGGTGTCACGGATTCTAAAGTAATGCATTACATTTTTCTGTGTTGCAGAAGTGTGACATATTAACTACATAATAGCAAGAAATAACAATCCACAGAGCTACCAGTGAACCAGACGGACATTTTCTTAAGCTGTGCAAATCAAAAGGGCAAAAAATGTCAAACTTTTGCCAGGACAGCAGTGAGTGAGCGCGACAAGCAATTTATTCCTGCAGATTATGCAGTTTTCTGTCACGTTATACAGATAATTTCAGATTCTGAATTTTACTTATTTCCCATTGGGCTTTTACATAGATTCAAAGTTGCCTAGTGCAGCTTTCACAGCACCACTAAACAGCCATTTCATCTCCCAAGCAGTCTGGCAGACTCTCTGCATTCAGCACATTTAAAAGTCGGGCTCCTCCGTCGGCCCCCGCTCCCTCCCCCTGGCCCCAGCTGTCCCGGTCATCGCTCTCATCTGTGTTTGATTCGTACTCTGATCCAATCCCAGATTCCCTGAAACGAAGCAACTCCAGGGCTCCCAGGACCTGCTCCCCCAGCAGCGAGCTTTCATCGGGGGCCCCGTCGCTGGGAGTCTCCCCTGTGTCCTGTCCCTGTTCCTGGCTGTCTGCCGCTCGGGAAGCAAAGCGGAAGCACTCAAGCCTAACTCCGCTGCTGCTAAGCCCCGAGGGGATGGTGTCAGCGCCCATGGTGCCTGGAGAGCAGGACCCGGGCAGGACAGAGACCCAGGCACTATTGCTAATCTGAAGCTGGGACTGAGCTGCTAACAGGCCTGTAGATGAGGAAGGGGTGGGGGGTTCATGAGGAACACCGGGAGGCTTTGCACGAAATGTGATCTCCAGAAGACTGTCCTGGGAACCCACTGTGGAAAACAGAAATGAGAAGAGATCAAATATAATATGAGATATTTATAATGGATTAAGCAAAGAACAAAAGATATTTCATTAGCACATATAAACAGAGATGCAGATCATGTAAGCAGAGGGGACTGGTCAAAGCTGAGATTACAAAGAGTGGGATGACGTCTGTGCTGGAACGGGAGAACGGGGAGCGGTACCCTCTAAGAGGGCTGTCATAGTATAATTAACTGTGTGCCAGAAGCAGGAGAGAAAACGGAGTACAAGAACATGAGCGCAATGGGAAAGAAAGAAACTAATTAAAAGTAAAGAAAAATAGGGAGAAATTTTAACGTTTTTATTACAGATTAGATCGGAGGTAAACAGGAAGATTAAAGGCAGCCAAATAAAAATCTACACTACACTTTAAAGGAGAAAATGATCTGAGTGGAAAGTCAATTACAAAAGTGTATTAGCCACTCACTGGATGTTAACTGGCCCGCAGCTTTGAGCTCCAGCTCCTGGATCTGTTTGACCAACAGGGAAATGTGCTGCAGCAGGTCTGTGTTCTGCTGCAGCAGCCTCTGCACTCTGGCCTGGGCTTCAGTCCGAGCACACAACTCCACCGACAGCTGTTCCTGCAAAACATTTACCTAAACACACACACAGACATACAACTTTTAAATGCCACTGCCCGGGAAGTGTTACCTGAAACTGTTCAAAGTTTATGTAAAGGTTTAGTGTCTGAAAGCGCTCTGTGAATTTCATAATCATAAATACAGATACTCATGTCCTGTTTCCTGGGAGGTTTTGATAATTTTTTTATGTGATCAGGAAGTTTTGTGTCAAACAGCCTTTGCTCAGTTACATTAAGTAAAGCACATTTCATTTAATTATTGAGCATATTTTAACCCCGTAACATCAAGCAGATCATATTTTAGACATATACCTCTACATAACCCAGAATGAAGACTCATAAATGCAAATCTTTTTCTTTAAAAAAATGTCCAGAAGGTTCAATAACCACTCCACTTTCAACAAATTACAATTTTTCTGCCAATTATTTCAGGGTTTCGGCTTTAAAGGGTTAAAACAACTGATGCTGGTATGCACAGAGGCACACAGTGAATTCTTCAAGGCTTGTGATTTTTTATTAAATGAATCACAGCTGATGATTCAGTGCACAAAAAAGAAAAAAAAAAACCCTGTGTGCATCAATACAGTTAGTGAGAGTTTCATCACAAAAAGGAAGAGAAGAAAAAAATTGTGTGATAGCGTCACAGTGGCATGAGATCACCTGCTTTAAAAATACTTGTGGATATTTTTAGCTTCATTTACTCAGTACTTATGGGTTGGAACACGCCCCTTTTTAAATGCAAGCTTCATTTCGATCTCAACTGCACTTCCGTGACGTTTTAATGGCGCTACCTCGCGTGGTTTCAACACCATCGCGCTGACAAGATCTGTCCACAGACAGGCAGACACACATAAACAGCTGCTATACTCAAAACTGCCATTGTGGAAGTTTGCACTACGGTAAAATTTTCCATGAACACATTTTCCCATGAAGAGACTCACACAAACTTAAAAGGTGAAAAAATCTTCTTTGAGGTTCCAGAAGGGGAAAATTACCTGCGCTGAAGCTGCTAGTGCTTGTTGTTCCTGCTGCTGCAGTTGTTTCTGAAGGAAGTGGACCTGGTGCTCTGCAGAGCAGGATCCCCCTGCTGCAGCATGAGCCAGCACAGAGGCTCCAAGGATGGGCGAGCTCAGCAGAAGAGACGGGTTATCAGATACCTATAATGAATAATAAAATGATGGTGATTTAGGCTCCACTACTTCTACAAGCTGAGTTGAAGCACTTTCACTAGTCATTCACTACACACATAAAGACTGCTATCTACAAACTTTAACAACCACTATGCTGGGATCAGACTACACAGTATTTTTGTAGGAGTAGGCAATTATAGACTTATTTTGGCTTTTCCTGACCGAGTGACATATAGGAGTACACACACACTCGGGATCAAATCAACGTTTCCCAAGAAAAGAATACAATCGGACAACGGCAACCAAAGTAGCTCTTTTGATTCCTCTGTTATGTGCCTCTCAGTTCCCTCTGTCCTCCTACCTGTGAACTGGAAATCCATCTCAGCATATCCTCATGGAGGATGTCTCAAATCCTAAAATACACCCAGAGGATGGAGGAGTGAGGAGAGATGAGTCTCACAGGAGGAGCTATGATTGAAGCTGCACAGCTCTATCCTTTATGGAAGTGATTTTTTATTAGTGACTCGTGAAAAACATTCAAAGGGACAAAGCTGGAATATACAAAACCTGAAGGGCGTGAAGAGGACTCCTGAAATAAGTAAACGCTGTTATGCTTATCTGAGATCGTGGAATAGAGCAGTAGGTTTTAACAAAATCATGGACAAATGATCCAGCAGTGTTATACATCACATTTAAGTGAGATTGCTTTTAAATGACTGAATCTGTCAGAATCTGACTGATGTAGGAGTTTTAAAACCGACAGCGAAACAATATTTGGTGATTTAAAAATCTGCCACCTCAACACCCCCGTGTGTGTTGGGGACAGCTCTTTCATTATGCTTGCTTTGTTTATGCTATATACTGTCTTCAATTACAGTTGTGTACAGTATCTTATTCTTATTCTATTCCAGTGTTCACTAATTTTTGCTATATAACTTTGCACTGTCCACTTTCTGCTGTAACAAAACAAATTTCCCACGTGTGGGACTAATAAAGGTTATCTTATCTTATCAATGATGTTTTAGACAATGTCCAGTTTGCTACCTGGTTGCCTGTCCAAGTGGATCCCACATACCTTGGTTGTATTACACTAATGCATTAATAGAAGAGAGATAGTTAGACAACAGTGTAATTGTCTGGAACTACTCTTCGATTATTAAAGCGGTTGTGTTTTTAAAACCTTTGAAAGAGGAGTGAAAGAAGCTATCAATGTCCACTGTAAACAACCATCTTTGAACGATGACCTGGATGACTGAGAACCTTCACAGACAGATAACTACAGCCCAGCCCAGGCAGCAATATATTGACGACTAACCTTGTATTGTGGATGAATTATCTCAGTTGTTCTCCTGACTGAAGATTGGACCGTTTAGTGGAAACAAAGTTAGCGTTCATCCTCCAGCTTCACTGTGCTAATGTGTTTATATTATGCTAGCCATAGCTAGCCACCACGTAGCACATCATTATATACCAGCTAGCCCAACTTCAGTAACCCTCCAAACGTCACTGCTGTTTAGTTTCCTGTCTTCATTTATGTTGGAAGTGATAGCAGAGCTGTACGTTTTAATTTTTTCAGAAATCACTCAGTCAGACAATAGTATATTATGTTTAGGTGGAAACTAGCGAGCTAACGCCCTGCTAACATCTAACTCCATTAAACTTCATAAATTCTGTTTTCATGGATGCCTGGATTTTAAACTTAATTGTTACACCTGGTAAAGCAGCAACACTGATTATTTTATTAAAGATGAAAGAATTTATACAGTTTGTAACTCTCAGTGATGCCACAGTGTTTGTTTGACTTTGGGACCTGAAGCAGAGTTTGGACCCGGAAACGGGTAATGACATCAGACTTAAACACCGGATATCAGCCGATAATATTGGTCTGCCCATGAATTGGCTTTAGCTTTTATCCATTTTGCCACATTATATGAGGCACACTGGTAAGTTGACATAGGGTTGCACGATTTTGCATAAAATGAGAATCACGATTTTTTGGCTTAGAATTGAGATCACGATTCTCTCACGATGCTCTTTTCCAATATAAATATTTATTGCACTTATTAACTGCACATCAACTTCGTAACAGTTGAGACTGAACATAAAAACAATAAATAAACATAAAAACAACAAATGTCTCACGTTTTGTTGTTGCCGCAAAATGTTGTACTGCTTGAAATTCCGTCTCCACCGTTGCTCGACGCTGCGTGTATAGAGCAGGTAGTGCAACAATAGAAAAATAGTTGCGGGACGGCACTGTGTAGCGTTTGTCTAGGGTGTTGATCATTTTCCTAAATCCCTCGTTTTGCACAGTGTTGATAGCTTCTGGTCAGGTGATAAGTGATAGCCTGATCTTGGCCTGGGGAGTTCGACGTGTATAGGGAAGCGCTGTATAAGGTTCCCGTTATTGATGTTTGGGTGGTTGACCGGGACGGATTTTCTCCTGTCACTTTCTCGTCATCCCTGACGTGCTCTCCGTTGTTTTTTCCTGCTATTGCAGCACAGCTTCTGTACACGTGATAAGGCTCCGCCCTTGTCATTTGTTGAGCAGGAAGAGTGAGCGCTTGTTTTCATGCAGATTACGTCCCGGATCAAAATGCGGTACAATCGTCGTCGTCTTTTTTTTTTTTTTTTTTTTTTTTTTAAATCGTTGTCATTTGGAAATGAGATCGCACATAAGTATGAATCGAGATCGCGATTTTCTAACGATTAATCGTGCAGCCCCAAGTTTACACTCTGGTTTCTTTCCGGACACGAATAACCAACCTGTGTTAAGCTGATATGCTGTAGGCTGAAGTCGGCATTAGTCCCTGACATCAGGAAGAAACAGAGCTTGGCCACAGACAGAGAACAAAGTATAAGGCAGCAAAACCCACAATCCTACGTGACTAATAGCAGAAAGAAAAAATATATGAAAGTTTGTATGTGTAAAAGCATGTCTACAGCAGTGGTTTGAAAGCCTCTCTTTGCCAGTCTGAGCTCCTCAGGGAGGAAAATGCAAAGAGATGCTGCACTGACAGCAAGGAGCCTGTGTGCTTTCATCCCAATGGAGAAATCCACAGATGGTTTCTTAGATATCCTCACTGCTTGATGCTTAGGGTGTCTACAAGGAATTTTGTGATGATCTCTTAAAATGTGTGTATAATGTGAATCCACTTTTACTGCTCAATGCTGCTGAAGTGCAGGCAGGTAGAGTGAAGTGCAGCAAGCCTGGAGCGAGCGAGAAAGCGATCAATGCAATATCTACCACGTCAAGTTGCATAAATGAAGAAAATATCAAAGTGGGAACTGTATTTCACAGCAAATAAAAATCAATAAACGCTGCTATTCTGTTGAAGTTGCTGCTGATGGAGAATTCTGTAGTGTTGGCTGTTCTTCTGTAAACTCTCTACTACTTGGTGTTTGATTTTTTCTTTGAGGTCCTGACGACAGGCATGAAATTTACCAACATTTTAGAGCTGAAGATTGAATTATCTTGAAGTGTGTGAGGCACTGTGATAAATCAAAGTCTAATATTTAGACTGGCATTTTTTTTAACATAAGCATGATAATTATACTGTAAAGAAATGACCTTAGTCCAATAAGAATAAAAAAAATGTGAAAGCAGTGCTTTAATTAGGGTTTCTATAAATAGATGTGTATTGACTGTATGGGCCGCTGCTGCTGGGGTGAATGACTCACACAATTATGCTGGAGTGCTACAGCAGGAATTGTTGACATGAAAGTCTTATCTGTCAAGAAAAAGATGGGAAATCAATATGTTGGACTCCATTGTCATTAACACTTCACTGTGAAGGACACTTGACCTTCAGATTACAAACACAGGACTGAGACAGGTTGCACGTGAGACCTGATGAAATGCTGCAGGAAAATGAATAACGCAAAAACTATGACGCTTAAATTCCCTTGTTCTTGGGTCATTGTGCAATTAGACTTAATAACTGTTCGATTTGAACCAATTAACACCTCATCAGAACAACACCGGTTTTCTCTCTTGTGAGTAATAAAGCTGACAGTTCCTCAGAGACTCGGTGGGAAAATGAGCAGACAGGCAGATAGCAGAGAGCGGCTTGTCCGACATCACAGGACGAGCAGAGCAGCACTTAGAAATCCTGGCTGTGATTTCATCAAATTACCATATGGTCCTATCAATATTGAAGAGCCCGTCTTCACAAGCAACCCTTAAAGACATGATTGCTTACAAGATCGCACATCCCTCTGAGCTCTGAGCCGTTTTCTGATCTTCTTTTGAGCTTTTATGAGGACAAACTTTAAAATTAGCAAACTACCCATCTGTGAGCTGTGGGACTCCAGGAAGCACTGAATAATACAATATTTTTGACTTTTTTTAAAACCCCATCCATCATCTATATATTTTGGTAACCTAATTCAGGATTAACAAATGGGTGGATGGACACTGGGCTTGAGGTGGCGTCGACTCTGGTCATCAGTTAATTTGCATTCATATTCAAACTTAAGGATAATTTATAGCCGATTAACTAATCAACATTTCTGGAGGAAACCAGAGTTACAGCCACTCCTACCCATAGTTAACAAGCACAAGTTGCTTCTGCTCACTCCTAAATATCTCAGACCAGTTCTTCTAAAACATGGATGTAACCACAGTGACGTCACACTTTGGTACTGGGTGCATTTTGAAGCTTTATTTTGTTGGCGTTTTGGCCATTGTCCAGTTGTTTTTTCTTTTATTTTACCTTATATGAGAGGGTGCAGTGCAAATTTACCAGCTAAAAATGTACATTTACCTTTACTTGGGTAGTAAGCCATATTCATAAACTGTATGGCTGCAATGCAGAGACACAAATATCTGCTTTTACTTTTGTCTTTGAGATACTGATGTCAAATTTGCTTCCTTTCATATAATTCCCTTGTATTTACTTTCATGCTGTAAATTAACTGTAAATATTTAACTGTAAATAGATACCTTGCTTGTATAACTATCTAGTTTGGAGGCTCAGTTTGTGGTTTAGTCTGCTGGGACACATGTGTGCCCCCCACATATCTGTTAATTAGTGCTATGTAATAGACTAATGAAATATTAGACTTTTATTCTCCAAAACAGAAGCACAAACGTATCGGATGGTTGCTATCACACAGCAAGGCATAATATTAATATCGGAATAGTCCAAATCAATAATCAAAGCGAATGAGTCATAATTTTTTTTATTTTTTTTTTACCACACTCACACTTTCTATTCAGGGGGAAACTATCCAGGGACAAAACACGCTGTACCAGTCTGTAAACATGTTTTTTTTATGCTGTAAAGCTCTTATTTCAACATGGCAGGATCGGGGGCTCACTCCCTTTGGAGGTAGCCTCCAGTGGCACCAAGAGGAACTGCAGTTGGCTTGATTTTTCAAGAAATGAAAATGCCCCGTTGGTATCAATGAAAAAAGGTTTTACAGAAAAAAACAGGAGAGCGGTATTCTAGAATATGTCAAGGCCTGAATCAGCTCATTGGCATTTAAAGCTATAGACAATGGAGCCAAAAACCAGAGGTATACCTCTGTGAAAAATTAAAGATATGTTGGTATTTTTAACAATGGAACTTGAAGGATGGGAACGTGCTTGACTTATTTTAACTAAACTAAGGTACAAAATAGGAGAAAAAGTCCCGTTTTTGTTCTGCACATTCTGATTTAAAGATCATATTTTGTGGTTACCTGACTTCAAGAGTATAAGATCTGTGAAAAACACTGCCTACAAATACAATATGATACTACATACTGTTTTAAATGTGTCATATCTAAACATGACTTCCTATAACATCCTGGGCTATATACAGAAATTTGAGAAAACTCCACCCACATTATTATAGCATTATTATAATAGTAGTATAGTGTAGATTACTATAGGTAACTTGCCCTTAGTTATTTTTCTAACAGTAATCCTAATGAAATGCTTACAAGACAAAATAATTGTTTATTAATAGTAAAAATGACTCATTTATAGTTCTTTATTATAGTCATTTAAATTTTATTTATACATCTCCTAAACTCTCACCTAAAGATGCTTTACACTGCAAGGCAGAGACCATAAAAAGAGAAAAGAGAACACCTCAGCTGTCTATGAGCGTGAAGGAAAACCTGTCATGGTTCTGGGTCCCTTTGACCCAGCATTTTGAGTTTCTTTTGTTTTAGTGATATTTTGTATTATGTTTTAGGTTCAATAGTAGTCTTAGTCTGTTTTATATTTTCTCATATTCCCTGTTTAGTTCCTTGATTATTAGATTCCCCCTTGTGTCTTTGTCCACTGTGTGTCTGGTTTCCCTCCTTGTGTTTTATTCTATGTTCCCCCCGCTTATCATGTTTATCCGTGTTTCTCCAGCTCGTCATATCGCTCTCGTGTTCCCTCGCTACCTCTCGTCTGCCTTTCCTCCACACCTCTGTCAAGCTCATGTTTCCTGTTTTATTGTAAAAGACGTGCGTTCCATGTTCAGTGTGTTTAGTTTTTGCTTTCCTGGTCTCGTTGTGTCTAATTCGTCTCAGCTGAGTTTCCCATGTGTTTTCTGTTCCCTCGTCATTCCCTGTGTATTTAAGCCTTCCCTCTGTTCAGTGTCATGTTCTCCCTCATTCCCTGCCGTGTGCTCTGCCTACCTGCCTGTTTAGTTTCATGCATATTCTAAGTTTAGTTAGTTTTGCATTTTCTGCTGTGTTTTTGAGTTCAGTTTTGCCTCTGTGAGTCTACGTTTGGGTCCTATCTTGCCTGCTTTACACGGCCAGTCCATGACAAAACCTTCATTTTAACAGGAAGAAACCCCCAGCACAACCAGACTCAGGGAGGGGGGCATCTACCATGACCGGTTGGGGATGAGAGGAGGAAGACAGAGCAAAAGACACACATTGGGAAAGAGCCAGAGTTTAAAATTAATTACTAAAAATTAAATGGACTAAATGCAACTTGGTGTATAAATACAGGAGATGACTGAAGGAGAAACACTCAGTGCATCATGGGAAACCCACCCATGTGCCATACCCATCCATAAATAAAATGTAAGTGTGCCTATATCATCTCCCTGCAGGATTTCTGTGTTTCCATGTTTCATAACAGCGATGCTGAAATGATGAAGGGCAACAGTACCTTTCCATCATTACCAAGAGCCTCGTCCTTTTTACTCTTCTCCGGGTCTGATGATGAGACGCACTCAATGCTCTCCTCTGTAGTGGCTTCAAGGTCTGTCTCCTCTGACAATGCAAACCTCTTCTTTGCTGCAGAGACCAGATGCACAGGATGGATTGTCATGCTTTATAAAAAAAAAAAATTGTGCTTTAAAGTTCGCAACATATCTAGAGGCAGTGACAGCAACAGTGTCGGCTGGCAGCAGCCCACACAAAAAAGGGCTTTGATCAGTGGGCTCGCACAACTAACCAAAACCAATTTGCAGCTTCAACATTCAAAGTGGCAAGTTGAAAAAAAAATGGAGGAGTATAATGACATCTTTTCACACAGAGGTGTGCTCAACTGCCACTGTTTGATTCTGCCTCACTCCGAGTTTTAGCTTGTATAAAGAGAAAGCGAGAAGAAACAGGAGTCGCAGGCTGGGCGGGGGGGGGGGGGGGGGCGGGGGGGGGGCCTTGTGTGCGTTGTGTTGTGTGACAGAAGCAGAACGGGAAGACGTGAGAGAGAAGGGAGTGGTTTTGCGGATGCAGATTTGTGTGTTTGCGTTTGTCGGTGTGACTCACCTGGCACCGCCTGCAGCTCCTCCGCCTTCCCCTCCTCATCCTCCTGCTCGTCGTCTTTCTGTTGCAGGGTCAGCTGGTGACACACATCAAATGCCTGACCCACTGTCCGCACAATCCTCATGGCCTGAGACTGTGAGAGGGGGTGGGGTGGAGACACCAAGAAGATGGTGTGTGTGTGTTGAAGTTTTGAGAGAACAGCAGCAGGAGGCCAACGAGGGTGGATGCACAAATGAAAGTACACAGTTGGGGAGAAAATGAGGCCCCAGAGGAGTTGCACAGGAAGAAACGCGAATACAGAGAGAGCGAGTGTATGAACATTGTGCACAGGTAACGAGAGAGAAGATGAAAAATGCAAGCAGGAGGAGGAAAGGGAATATTGGGGCAAAGCAGGAGGTGAAGGCAGACGGAAACGGAGGGAGGAGAAAGAAAACAAATTAGGACAGCAAATGCTGGGAGGACTTGAGCTGCTTGTCCTTGTGTATCTCTTTTGTATACATGCTGCTGTCACAGCGATGATTGGTGTAGTTCAGGATCAAGTAAATTTGATGGCAGAGTGAAGATTAAGCCATTTTTAGTATAGGAGGTTCAATTTAATTTGAATTAGACACAAATATTAACTACTAAGATCTTTTTAGTTGGGTCGCAGGAATGGCGCTACAGTAAGGACTACAACTCATCTTAAATGTTTGGTAACTGTGCTAGGGTTAGGATCTGATCTGAAGAAAAAGCCATTAGAGATTAACCCTGACATTTACAAGCATGTCCTAAAAGTTGATTTTCCACTAATTACAAACCCTAATTATACACAGGAGGAGAGACGCCCAGAGAGTTACAGAAAAAATTACACAGTATTAACCCTCGGTTGAAAAATGTCGACTATTTTACTGTAATCTCTTTGTTTTATCTCCACAGTTAGCTGGAAAGGGTTGCATATTGAAACAATTGAAATATGACACACTTAGCTCTGAATGATGTGAAACACCACAAATGTGGGAAGTGAAATGATTGGCCTACAATAAGCCTCTTTGAATAGAAAAATAAAAATCAAGCAAGTACAAATGTACATGCTGGCATCAAAAACGAAAGAAATTCCATCCATCCATTCTCTTCCGCTTATCCTTGTTAGGGTAAGCATGTCCTGGGAGAGTGGGAGGAAGCTGGAAGAGAGTACACGGAAAGAACCCAGCAGTGCTCATCACCGCGCTGCCCATGATTAGGAATATTATTCTCAGTTAATTATTAACTGATAAATGGTCATATTCACGATTTCTTGTGTATAACTGTTTTCACTGATGCACATTCAGATCAAAATCTGTTGTATGGTGAAACATCGAACACGGAGGAAAGCATCAAGTTAAATAAATAGTTAGTTTACATGTTGTTTTTAGTCTTAAGAACAAACAGCTTAATGCTTCTTTTTCTTGATTTTTTTTAGGTTGTCAGAGCCAGATCTGCATTTGTCATCTGTCCATATTTGTCTGTTTTAGTGTTTTAATAAAAAAAACCCCAAATGGTTGCAAAGTGGTTTAGCTCAACAAGAGGAGAACTACAACAAGTGTCATGTGTCAATATTTGATTCATGAGTTTTCCAGACTTCTACATCATCAGTGTTTCAAAAATGCAACCATATATGGCAATACGATATAAAAGGCAAAAACAGAGTTTATACAACTCTGGACTCTCTTAGGCAGCTTTCTTGTAATTGCCTTAAGTATTCTTCAGACATTCAAAGCTCTTCTTTGGATGTTTCTGCCTTTTGTTCTGTTCTCTGTCAACATGCTCTCACACTGCTTCGTTAGTCTGTTGAGGCCAATCCATAACTGATGGATTGGCCTCAACATGTATTTCCATTCATTCTTTTGCTGCATTGGCAGTACGTTTGGGATCAGTGTCATGTTGAAAAATGACACCCGATGGCGCTGTTCTGCATTCATAAATCCATCAGTTTTGACATGCTCTCCAACAGCACAGTCACAAACTGTGACAGAGCCTCCACCGTGTTTTACAGACTGCTGTAGACACTCACTGGCTACACCGCTCTCCTGACCTCCTCTGTGCAGATGCATCTCTCAGGTCCTCTGTCAGGCCTGTCCTGGTTTTTTTCTCTATTTCTTAAAGACATGACTTTCAGATGTTGTTCTACTAAAGATTTTTTCCTCATGCCAAGATATCAAGATAACAATTTTTCAGCTAATAGGTCTTTGAAAGCTTTTTTTCAAAAATACTATTTCATGCCTGTCAAACTGTGCTGTGTTTGGTATTTTAAGTAGATTCAGCTAAAGAAATGGGTGCTAAAGCTAAAGTTTTGGGTTTTGCAACTGGCTGCTAATAACAAAGTGGTTCATCCTTTGAGTTATGTGTCTTTTTAATTTTTGGATGGCTCAACAAACCAAAAAAACAACACTTCTCTGAGTGAAAACAAGTGAAAAAGCAGCCTTTGGAAAGCCTGGAGATCTATCTATCTACAGCTCAACCTCGCATTTCTTTTTCCATAAAGCCTTAATATGCAGTCCAGAGGCAGCAACCTTAAACCACCGGAGTTAAACTTTATCCACCATATCCTTCCCCAGTCTCATTACAGGTGACGCTTTCCATATTGAACAGTGGCACAGAAATGCATTTATTGATATCTGCCTCTAAAGGACCATCCTGCCTCCAGGCATTCATTTTAAATTTCAAGGTAACTCGAGCTTGAAAGTAGTTCAATCAAGTGAAATAGCAATATAAAACAGCAAAAGCAAAAACACTGTAAGAAAATTTGTCATATTTCTCAATCGATACAGAATTTAATTCTTCTTTAAAATTGTCAGGTTAAACTGACAGGCCTCCGAGGGCTGAGCACAAAAGGCTGTGTTGGTGTACCGAGCTGACATTGAAGCTTTGCTACGCTGCAACATGCCGTGATGAAAATAAATCAAATCTCCTCTTATCAGCTGGTCCATCTCCTCCTACTCAGCACACATGCTTGGCCTGCAACAACCAGATAAGGCTCAACAGCCCCAAGGAGGTAGAGAAGCACCACAGACCATGTCTCTAACATTGTGATGTGTATTTGGTTCAGCTGTAGTGAAAATGTCTTTAAGCGCGGAGCGAAAATGCCCCTTTTTCTTTTCGCTTCCCACCAGAACGATTAGTATTCAGCTTCACTAAGCCACTGTCTGTCTGGTATCCATGGTGAAGGGATGGGAGTCAACCTCAGTGATGCTCAGTCTTTGTCGTGGAGGAAAAATTGACGCTGCTTGATATGCAGATATGTGGAGAAGAACACGCCTCTCATTTTTCACAAGTTATTTACTAGCACAGCCATATGGGGTCTGATTCTAGAAGTGCACGCTATGGCTATACATCCCTGAGATTACAGACATGAACGCTATTAACAGATGCTTCAGAAGCTGAACTGGAAATGCAAATAAATGTGCTTTTGTTGATGTTAAAAAAGAAAAAAATCTGCAAAAGATGTTTGTCTATTTCTGAATCGCTAAAACAGTAAAACACTGGAAAATATACTTTCAGTCATTCGCTCAGAGGTGGTTTTAGATGAGAAGACGGACAGAACCATCCAGTCTTTTTCATGTCAACTTAGCCTTTCACAGAGATTGAAGACTGGGAAAAAGAGAGTCAACATGTTGCCTCTAACAAAAAGGGGAAAAAAAACCCTACAAGCCTCTGAGCAGTGCTCTGATTAACACATTCTGTTTGTATCTTGTTTAATCAGCACAAAACTCAGCGCGTGACGTCACAGCGCCTACAAGACGAGCAAGCCGAACGGCCAAAAAAAAGAAAAAAAAAAGAAAAGTCCAAACGACTCCAAACGCAGCTGTCAAGTTAACATTTCATTTATCTCTGGAGTAAACAAACAGCACGCCAATTAGCGAGCTTCAGAGATCCTGGCAGAGTTAATTCTGTTTCCACTGAATAGAGTTTGGCTTGCTGCTTCCCTTATTTCTGTGAAGCTCTATCTTCAGGTAAATGGTATCTTTGCCCTCATCAGACTGTGAGCCAGAGAGTTTAGGAGCCTCCTAAAATGACCAAATTGTTAGCATAGAGAGCTATTTGCTAACAAGGTGAACTGGTGAAGATATTCTGAAAGCAGCCTTTAAATAATGCAAACTAACCCTTTTTGTGCATTTGTGAGAAAAATGAAGGAAATGGAGACTCGGTGGCTAATTGTCATTTTTGAAAGTAACGTCTGTTAACAGGAGTAGAAATATTAAGCTGCCTGGTTAATGTCGCTAACATTACCATTATCTCCAGAGAGGAGAGGAGACGGCTACATTGTAATGAAAGGTAATGTGTCATTTATGTCTGCAGTAGTTTTGGGATCTGTGAGCAGTGAGGCTTACCTTTCTCTTAGACTTAAACACGTTGCAGCGGAAAATGTTGCTCTGTCCGTCTCTGGCTATATAACTGAATATCTTTAAGTCTTGAGCATCATGTGAGACGTAAAAGATCCTGTTGAGGCAAGAAAACATGTCAATTTTTTTTTAAATTGGGTGTTTGATTGAGCTGGTTTTTTAATGTAAAGTGCTCATTTTTCTCCCTGCTATGTAGCTTTTTTTCCTCAGTAGAAAACGCTGCCACTAAACAGCCTCCAAGACCTTGTTTTGTAATCCAGGCCTTTCTTCTGTGACTTATTTAGAAAAACTGATTCTCACGCACTCACAACATCTGAAGAATTTATCCCAGCTTGGGACCAGCACTGGGAGAACACCAGCTTGAGGCTGGGTTTGTGTTTCCTCCAGAGGATTTTTCATATGCAAGCAAATGTATGAAGCGCTACACCGCATACTGTAGTTTAACTTTAAAGTTTCCACATAAACCTGAGATATGTATGAACCAGCTGCTCTGCCCTGCTAATGTCCTGATTTATTTTTTAACCCTATCAAAAATCACATAAAGTTAAATCGCTTATGCTGATTTAGGATCTGACAAGTAAAATGATCACTGAGAGAAAAGTTAAAAGCCACACGCAGACTTCATTTTCACCAAAGTTTTATGATGGCAGCTCTTAAAATATGAGCCTGCATTTCTTAGCTTTTGTCACATCAAATGAGGAATGAGACGTCTGGACTTTTCGAGAGATGGGTACCAAAATGAAGCTTTTCGTTGCACAGCCTGACAGGGAGGTTGTGTTTTGGATGCATGTAAACATATTCCAGCAGAGCGACATGTACACTTTGTTACAGTCGAGAGGGCCCACCTGTGGATAGGATCCTGTGTCACCAAGATGGTGTTGTCGTCCCACGACCACCCTTTTCTCTGTTGCAAGACAAAAATCACACAGGTTCACGCTGACAACTGTGACTTAAAACAAAGATGTCATTCAAGGTGCGAAAACAAGTAAATGGAAAAATCATATGTGGTTGTGCAAGACCGACCTTCCTCTTTTTGCGCAAAATCACTTTGACGAAGTCAGTAGATACGACAATGTTGACCTTCTTTTTCTTTATGTTCTTCAACTTGAATTCATACTGTGAAGGAAGAATAGATAGAATAAACAACAAATCCAAAAGTTGAATCAAAGCAAACTGATTACAGTACTACCCGGTCTGACTCGCATTAAATATATTTATGGTCCTGCAGAGATGGAGCTCGATGAAGCGGAGGGATCACACAGACAGGAGCTATCTTTTTTCACTGTCTTCTTCCCCGGAGGAAAACTGGGATGGCGTAAACATCGAGAAACTGTCAGTTTCTCTTTCTGGGAGCTTTTTAAGTTTTCAAAGGCTGACTTCCCAGAGGGAGGCGGACATGTGTGGGACGCTTTCATCCCTCTGCTTGATTAACAGTGTGTCCTCCAAATCTTACATTCATAGGATGTAGGGTAAAAAACAAAAAACAGAAAGATTTGTATGAAATAACATGTTTGGCTTTGAAAACACAAAGTCCAACATCAGATTATTAATTGATCAGATAAGGTTTGATGAAATCACTCTCCAGCACACACACAGTTGCCCAGCGTGTGCAGCAGACTTGGATATTCTCTGTCAAGTTTCCTTTGGTTTGTGTAAATATGAGAACACAGAGCTTTCTCTTAGTTTCATCAGAAACTGGAGGCGGAGCTGATTTTAGTCCAGAGAGGTTTGACCATGCAAGCCTGCGACCTGTGTCCTTGTCATCTGGTCTTGTCCCGTTAATGCATCTGGTTGTTGCTGTGTGAGTTTTTTCCCCACATGCAGGCTGGATGCAGGTGCTCAGGTGAAGGACATTGATCTCTGTGGTGTGTGTGTGTGTGTGTGTGTGTGTGCAATCCAGGCTAATGCAGCTCTGCATAAACCAGGACCATCCATCTCCGCACACGCTGCTGTCAGAGGGAGATGAAGCGTTCGCGCCACGTTTTCACGCACATGAGCCTGAAACTAATTCACACTGAAACCGCCCCCGAACAAAATAATGCTACAGGTTGTGGAAGTTCACCTCTCGTCTTACCCCCTGAGCCACTGCGAGTGCTTTAAGGACAAGTTAGCTTTTGAATATTCACAGTCTGTCTCCCCCAGAAGCAGAGACTATTAATTACTGTGTGATAACAGAGCTCAAAAACAGCCCGAGCGTTTTACAAACCTGCTTTTATGTTATCCATCTTAATCCCACACACATTTACAATCTTTTTTTTTTTTTCAGTTTTATTGTATTTTCATCATTTGTCTCTTTTTGCCTCGTTTGCCTTCTTATTATCAGTTTGTTTCAAAGACTTAGAGCAAAGCATTTCACAGTCTTTTAGATAGGAGCTTTGTAGTAAATTAACATTGTCTGCTTAAGCACAGATAAATAAAAGCTAAAATGCAGGAGAAAAGCCTTCAGCGGTTGGATTGCTTTGTGCATTGTGTGGGTTTCTCTCTCTTCTTTCTCCATTTGAGCTGCTCTGTTGAACGTGTCTGTCATTTTCTCCAAAATGCATAAAAGCAAGTTTAGAATCTACTTTCTAAAAATGTGCAAACACACACACACACACACACTACTGGGATGCCTGAAAATACAAGGGGAATCCAAACACACACAGCATCCCTACATCTTTGCCAGTGTGATCAAATGACCAGCATCGCCCACTGTACGGGATGCTGGATCAGGATTAAGTCTTTCCTTGGGTGTCACTGGGGAGGCGGCCGATCTCCGAGTGACACCATAAACTTGGTTGTTAGATTAGATGCAACAGCTGACAAGCAGCTAAATCCTTTCCTCCCCGAGTGTCTCTGTCACACTGCAGTGATGTTTAATGACAAGGCCGCGTGTTGTTTCCAGCGGCCTTGCATGATCGTAACAAAAGGAGGCTTGAAGGATGTTGTTTTTTTTCCCCTGATGGCATCAAACATATCCCTGTGCGCCGTGTCTCTCCTCAGCCAGAAAATCCAAGCTGCCCTACGAATCCTGCCCTGATTTAAACTGCTCCTGACGGCCCACTGAATCTGCCCACTGTGTAGTTTTACACAGACAGGTCATTTATGTGTAAAGAGGGGACGCCGAGCACAGAGAAAGGAACTTGTGAGGAACGTGCACAAAGACGTGCAGCGAACGTCACCAGTGTTTCAAAGTGGGTTTTGTCAAAGAGGCAAAGTGTGTGTGCTTCAGGGAAATCTTACTCTGATTCTCCTCATTGCTGCAACTATCTCCATTCGGCTCCCGGGGCGGCCCACCTCCAAACTGCCTATGTACTGCAAAACATAAGAGAAAGGTTTGAAGACGGGATTGTTAAGGAAGTGAATACTTGGGGAGTGCTGGGATGACACACTGTCTCCTCTTTAGATTGAACCAGTGTCAGCAGATTTTTTTTTTACACAGTTTTGGATAAGCAGACAACTACGTATAAAAATGTAATTACACTGCACATTATTTTTTCAAGTAAATATCAAATATAGACGATTCTACCTTCTCAGATTTGGCAATTTGCAGTTTTTATCTGTCATAAAATTATGAATTTGGCTATATAAGTGTTGGTCAAAGAGGACAACACATCCGAACAAACTATGTGATTTTTTTTTACAGACCAAATCATGTTATTAGTGCAGACCAGAGACAAAACAGTAAAACTTAAAGAACTCTTCATAATTCCCACAGTGCAGTCAGTCTCATTCATCTGCACTAAACCAAAACTTTGTATTATCCTTGAAACAAGATTATGAAAATGAATTTTAAAAAATGATAAAGTCATAAAGGGAAATTTAATATAAAATATAAAATTATTGCATGATCAGAAGACGCAACAATAAACTAACACACACAATTATGCAAGAAAAAAAAGAAAAAAAGAAATATAAGACGACATCTGAAACCCAAGAAGCCCACATAACAGTGTTTAGCATATTAGGACTCGCTGGTCTTCAAGCCTGAAATGCTGCCCAGAAAGTACAATCTGTTGCAGAGGCTTCTTACCTTTGCCTCGAAGCACACCCCATGCTTAAACACCTCCTCGTTGTGCATGGGGATCCTCAAATCTTGCGCGTCATCCACTAAATTGTACTTGGTTACTCCTGGCATCGCTTTAATTTTAGCTCACTTGCTCCCGACACTTGTTTTACGACAGCGCTAGAGACCTGCAGATATGCGCATCTCCTCCGGCGCTCTTCCCTCCGCCCTCTCATCGGAGAGACGCGTCACTCCGGAGGTCATGCCGTGGGCGAGGCGCCACGGTCGCGACCGAACGATTGGTTGATGGGCTCAATTAATGTGTTAATCGGCGATCGGTGAGCGGTCTCACTGGCCCGTTTTTTTTTTAAAGCCGGGTTGAAGCGAAGCACGACTGAGGAGCAGTACGCGTCACCACCGCCGGGGACCCGGTGACGCACGGATCTCAACACTGGATCGTTTTCTTCTTCAAGTTCCCTCAGAATTAATTAATGACTCACTGTCTGCACGTGTACTAGCTATTAAACTGGATGCATGACACCTAATAGATGGAGAAATACTCAGTGGTGTGTAGGTTATATCAGCAGCTGCTGCTGGTGTTTGGTTGTGTGACATCTAGCGGCATCACAGGGAACAAACAAAACCCTGAAGACAGTTTAGTGGATTCGAGATTCTCCAGGGCTGTGTGGCCTCCTCAGAGTGACAATTCATGTCGCCAGCATTTTCAGAGAAGCTCAAACACCTACAGAAAAATCAATCAATCAATCAATAACCCGACACATGCCTTTAACCGTCTGGTGACACACTGTTGATATTTATTTATCAGTTAACTCTTACCATTATAAAGAGCATGATTATTAAGGAGACCAGCTGGATATTTTTTTGGGTTAAACGTACATATATGATTTTCCATGTGGACATAGATTAGACAAAGTAAGTAAGTAAAAATACATAAAAATTCTCACTATGCAGTTTCAGAATTCAGGAATTCAAATTTTGCCACATAGAGACAAACATTCTTGGGTGAAAAACAATATTTGCTGAATAAATTAGACCGACCTGTTTCTTTTTTTGTAAAAAACAAAACAAAAAACAACAACAACAACTTATGATGTCCCAGCAGATATTAATTTAAACAAACAGAAAGCATTAACTCAATTTACCTCTCATACAACTGAGGTATGGTATGCAGAAGAGCAGCGAGCAGCAGCAGAGCACTGGGTGCCACTCCTGTCAGCTAAGAACAGGAACCGAGGCTAAAATTCACACAGGCTCACCAAAGTCAGACAACAGAGGATACTAAAATTATTGCCCGGTCTGATGAATCTTAATTTTTTGTTGCCACATTTGGATGGTAGGGACAGAATTTGATGTAAACAACATGGAAGTGTGGCTCCATCCTGCCTCATACCAGTGATTCAGGCTGTTTGTGTGGGTGTAATGATCTTTTCTTATTTTCTTAGTACAAAATGAGCATTATTTAAACACCAAAGCCTCCCTGAGTAATGTTGCTGACCATGTCCATCCTTTTATGACCACACTGTACCCATCTCCTGATGGCGGCCTGGAGTTCAAGGCGGTCTCCACAGTCACAAGAGATTCATGTCACAGGTGTGGAGCTGACTAATCTGTGGATCAGCTGTGTGATGCTGTCATATCAATATAAACCAAAGTCTGAGGAATGTTTCCAGGAACTTGTTGGATTTATGTGATGAAGAATGAAGGCAGTTCTGAAGCAAAGGGGAGTCAAACCTGATGAAATGAAAAAAGATGTGATGAGTGTTTTTTTTTTTAGATGAGCAGAAATTGATAATTTTAGAATGAATGAATCAATACTGACAGTTGGAAAAGGTGAGTGGAGCTGCTCGTCCTTTCACAGCAGGAGGAGATAACTTTAAAGAACTTTGGGACGATTAACAGCTCGAAGGCCTTTTTATTTCCCTGTTGAGTTGCTGGAAAACCAAAAACAAAGCCAAAAAGGGAACATTTTTTAATTTAGAAACTGTAAACATTTGCTGTGCGAAACAGAGTGAATGATGACAGAGTGATACACAGCAGAAAAAGGTGTGGGTGAACAATCACAAACAAAAACCATCACCTAAAAATCTTTCATGTCCTCATATGCACCTTATACAGTGTGACAAGCCTTCTCCACAGATTTGAGATATTCTGAAGCGAACTGTGCAGATGTGCTTTGCCCTCAACTAGTTCTGTTTTGAATTCAGTCACACCATTTCCCCAGCAGGGGGCAACAGAGCTCTTTACACTTTCAGGAGGAGTCAAACGCTCCCAATAAATATCAGGCACACATGTTCTCCATATCCTTCTTTATCACTGTATGCAGCTTGTCTTTCACTGACCTCTGACAGAAGACACTGTGTAACTGTTGTGCTCTCTGTGTCAGTGTAAGGCACACACTAACTCACTACACACACAAACATTTTTCCCACAATGCCAGCGTCTGACAGCTGTTTTCTGGGGACTATTTGTTCTGGCATTTGAGGTTGTTGTCTTTAAATTGCCTCATTTCAGGTATTTAAGATCTTGCTCCGTGCGTGCGTCTCCTCCAGAGATAATAACTAGTTTTGTGCACCTGCCATCTTTTCTAAGCCCTTAACGTGGCAGGTGAGATGGCCCTCACGTGTTTTCATGTCACAAGGGTTCAATCTGGTGCTGCAGGTAAACAACCAAAACAGCTTTGTTCAGATGAGATGTAACATGAGTAAGAGAAAAGATGCAGGTGCATTATTTTTCTTCTTATGTTTCTTTTATGTCGTATGTGGGTGCAGTAGGATTTTCTTTCTCATGTGACGTCAATGTCTGTTTACCGATTTACATTTTAATAAAAAAATAATACATGGAAAGAGCTGGAAACCAACCTCTGTGAGGCTGTATTTAGTGGGAATTCTTCTGAGGGATCCCAAAGGAAAAAAGCTAACAATCAGGGAATTCATCAGCTGTGGTCTGATAAGTTAGCCTCTTGGGGTAACTTCTAATGTATCAGGGTTTCTGGGGTGGCCTGCGGGTGTCCAGATAACAGATATCTGGGGCAAGACTCCACAGAGCACTGATCTTTTACAGTCCAAATACGAATGTAGATAAAATCAGACAAGAGTTAGTGGTTTCAAGATTACTCCCTGCACAGACCTGCATGCAGCCAAAGGCCAGACATACTAGGTATACACTACTCAGAGTACTAAATGATATGGAAATTTCTAAGATCCCCATTGATAAAATCTTATCCCATCCATCCATCCATCCATCCATCAGCTTCCGCTTATCCTTTTCAGGGTCCGCTGGAGCCTATCCCAGCTGTCATAGGGCGAAAGGCGGGGTACACCCTGGACAGGTCGCCAGTCTGTCGCAGGGCTAACACATAGGGACAGACAACCATTCACACCTAGTGACAATTTGGATTAATCAATTAACCTATCCCCACAAGCTGCATGTCTTTGGACAGTGGGAGGAAGCCGGAGTACCCGGAGAGAACCCACGCAAACACGAGGAGAACATGCAAACTCAACACAGAAAGACCCCGGCCTGATGGAGGAATTGAACTCAGGACCTTCGTGCTGTGAGGCAACAGTGCTAACCACCGTGCCACCGTGCTGCCCAAAATCTTATCCCCTGCTCACGTATTCTGTGTATTCATTTGAAGATAATATCTGATAAATAATAACTGATACCAGCTTCTCAAATGTGAACATTGGTGCTTTTTTTTCTTCAAATCTCTGAGCCTTTGGTGGTGTTTTTACTTTTTTCTGAATCATTAGAGGCCAAACGGTGGATTAGTAAAGACTGATAATGAGTTTCAGGTAGCTAAACTAGTGATCAGTATTAATTCCCTGGAAAGCAAGAATTTAACTGCAGTTTAGTTCTACTGAGTCATGCTGTGAGTGCACAAGCAAACAGAGGAAGAAAGCAGGCTTTCTCTGAATCTCTGTCATTGTCCTGATTGCTGGTGACATTTTTTTTAACCTTGCACTGGGCAGTTTTACTAGTATACCGTGTCACATGGGTAAAAAGGAATCAGCTGTTGTGTTATCTACAAACTGCTGCTCGACGTGCAGACTGACACGAGATCATCTGCTTAGGCACATTCGCTGCTCTTCATAGATCAATAAGCACACAAGCCTGCGGCGTTTGTCAAAGCAGCTGAGCTCAAAGTCGACGTTCCCACAAACCCAATTACCTTGTCACCGTTGAAGCCACTCTAGATAGTTATTGACACACGCATTTGCCAGCGTTTCTGTGGATGAGGTTCACAGTCGTGAGGCTATACGTCACAGCGCTTCCCGTGTCTTTGTCGTGCTCCACGGGGAAACAGCCTCGGAGAATTGCTATAATAGCTGCATGCTGTGTTTATAGGATGCTGCAACAATCAGTTAAGTTTTTCATCACTTCAGGTAGATTTCATTCAAACTGCTTATTCATTTTTACGTGCCTCTTTGAATTTTTCATGGTAAACTTATGATACACACTCTTAAGACTTCCATCCTTGTGGTGAATAAGCACAAACTCAACAGCCAACCAATGATATGTGACACACGGTCATAGCTACTGGGTCAGAAAGGGAAGCCAGTGAAGAAATGCTTTAAAACTGGATTCTTTCTCATGGTCAGCGAGGGCCAGTTTAGATTTGATCAAAGTCTGAGAAGTTTAGTATTTCAAAAAAGTTTATCATGTCTGCCATTTAGAGTCAAATACATGATAATGTAGGACGTGTTTAATGACCAATGCTGCCTCCATGTGAACGTGCAGTTTCTCCAGTCAGACATCTGGTTTAGTATCACAACAACAACACGATGTCACAACGGTGACGGCATGCATGTGTGCGGATGTTTCGCATTGCAAAAGTGAGAACTGCATCAGATACAAAAATATTATTATTACTATTATTACTTGCAAAAATAAGTGTACGTGACAAAGGTGGTGTGGTTCATCATTTTCATGTCAGTGATGAAATTGAAATCAAAATAATGCGCCTAGCTCACAGAACAAATGAAGGAATAACGAACAAAGTAAATCTTTTTATTATCTTTTTAATAAGATCGTGGGAAACTAATAATGATAAGAAGAAGAAGATGACAAAGAAGAAGAAGAGTAGAACAAAACTTTTAAGTCACAAAAAGTGTTGTATAGTAATTTGTCTCATCTCCACTGCAAGGAGTGAATCATGAGGTGCTGTCAGGATGTTTGGTGAAAACTCCATATTCTCTGATAAATCAGAAAGACCAAGCATCCGTTCAGTTTATGGTAAAAACCACAGAGGAAGTATAACCCAGGCTTACAGCACACCTTGTTTATGATTTGTATTTTCTGCTGTTTTTGCCTAAAACTGCTTTCATTTTGATTTTATTAACATTTCAGTAAAAAGGGGAATGCTACCAACAGCATGCCGGATACTCTGACACTCATACGTGTAGCAAGTTTAGGTCTCCAGTGTGACTAATTTGCAACTTTGGACCATACCAACAATGCCATGAAACACTGAGGAGTCGGTTTTCTTGGAAATGTAATGGTAAAAGAACCACATGGGGGTTTACCTCACTTAAATAAGTCAGCATTATTATTGCTAATGACCTCTGTGCTTTAA